AGGGAGCGGAGCGTCCCGCGGTGCCCGGCCACCGCTGCCCTGGGCCACCCAGTCCTGCCATGTGCCCCAGCTGCTGGCACCACGGTGGGACCTGCCTTGGCCACCGCCCCACACCATGGCACACAGTGTCCCATAGGGTGACACCAGCCTGGGGCACGTCCTGCCCGTGCCACAGGTGATGCGCCAAGGAGGTGATGCAGAAGCCATGCGGGCAGGGCTTGACCCCTCAGCCCACCCCAGCAGCAATCCAGCCCCTACCCCGGGTGCCAGTGGCTTGCAGCCAATGCATGGGGCCAGATCCAGAGCCAGGCAGCTGGGTGCTGCTGCCAGTTCACGGGGCTGCTCCTGCTCCACCTGCAGCCTCTCTGCCCAGCCAGGCCACTGGCTACCCACATCCCCCCCCCCCCCTGCCCGGCCAGCTCATGCACCCACCTGGATGTAGTCCACGGAGTCTCCGAGTGCCCGGAAGGCCGTGTACATCACCTCCCGCTTCCCGCCCCACTTCTGAAGGATGCAGGAGTAGGTGGTGCCGCGCACCAGCGCCTGGACGTGGGCCAGCCCTTCCCGCAGCCCGGCCTCCGTCTCCCCCTCGCCCCACGCGTGGAAGTTGCTCCTCCAGATGTAGCTGCCCGAGCGCTCAGAGCCCATCACAGCGTGGAAGATGTCCAGCATGTAGGTGTCATCGGGGCCATTCCCATCCACCACCATCACCACTTTGAGGTCGGGGAAGGCGATGCGCTTGACGGAGCGCAGGCACTTCTTCAGGTAGTCGGGATCCTCCTGGTAGGCAGCGATGCAGAGGGCCACCGAGCGCCCCAGCCGCACCGGCTGCCCCTCGCCCCGCATGCGTCGGTGCTCCAGGAAGGCAAAAAGGCTTTGGATGAAGAGGTGCAGCCCCAGGATGGCCCCGTAGAGCCCGAAGGAGAGGTAGTGCTTCTCCGTGTGGATGAACTGGTACCCCGTGACGTAGGCAGCAAGGATGCCCCCCAGCACCGCCAGGGCGAAGAGGCTGGGTCCGACGACGCGCAGGGCCGTGGAGAGGCTCACTGGCATCTGGGGGGGCACCGGGCAGCGTCAGGGCAGGACCAAGGTGACGACCCATGGCAGGACCCATCGCCTGGGCCCCCCGAAGGGGAGAGCAGGGGGGACCCCG